TTGCATCTGAACTCTTCATACATATATATATATATATATATGTGGTTTTAGTTTTAGTTAACGATTATAACCCTGATAAAGATACATAACTAAGTCATTCAGGTTTGGAACGACATGATCTTCCTTCAAGGAAACATCTGAGAGCATCTAATGAGCTCATTATTGGCTTTCAGAGTTAATACTCAGGAGCTCCACACCAGGAAAACCCTCGGGATACTCACCCGTCTGTCTCTGTCCGTGGCGCACAAACCCGTGGCTCCAGTGCTATCAGAGAGCTTTAATAACTCCCAGCTCCGCGCTTTGAAGTCGCGGTCAGGCAGCTAAAGAATCCCATTCCCTCCGCTTCCCTGACAATGGGCTGGGGCCTGGGGGGGAGGGGGCCGACCGAACGCCGGATCTGGCCCTTTTCTAATCTGAGGCCATCAGGATTTTACCTGCCTCCCAAATCCTAAAGCTGACTTTAAAAGGCGGCCAGACACAATTATTGGACACATTCCCTCTTTTCCATTAACTTCAAGGAATGTTCTGGGTTTAGTGCAAATTAAGCGGTTTCAGCAGCAAATAATTCCATCTCATTCCAACTCTTCCATCATTGCTTTTTAACAAAGTTCTTTGAATAAATGTCTGCAATGAACAGTCAGTTATGATTGCGCACGCTCGGCTCCCACAACAAAAACTATTCATCCCTGCAACTCATCAACACATTGTTAACAAGGATTCTGTTTACAGCAGAATAAATATGGCACAACAATCCTGTGATTACTATTATGTTTTCAAAAATCACAAAGAGCAGATTAGACAGCAGCATGATTCACAAGCCTGATTCAGATGCACACATACACACGCGTTTGTTTTCAATGAAATTTTTCATTTGCAATGAAAATCCAAAAGCGATATGGCATCACAAGAAAATGCTTGTTGTGATCTAAACTGCGACAAGACTAGCTCAATCAAGTGACTCATGGTTTGATTGTTTGGTCCAAACCAGAGTTTCACATCAACCAAACGCTGACCTGAAATGGACTCACATCAAAAGCTCTAGTCTGAAAGTGCCTCTTTCACTTCATCCACCCTAAATAAACAACCTAAACGCGTCTTATCACGAATCAAAAGTCTCTCGCTCTCTTGCTCAAAGAGTCTTTCAGGTACTTGACGACTGACAAAACACAAATCAGAGCCAAAACTTTAAAGAAGTCAAACCCTGGACCTGCCCATTAATGACACATGACATGTCCCGCGCCGCCGCCGGTGCTTTCCCCTCAAGGCCGCTGTCAGATTTTCCCAAATAACTTTCCCATTCGTGAGGGGAAGGACTTTTATAAGGCTTCTAATAGAGCAGGTTAATTATCAGTTAGAGTCTTTTACTATGACATCCTTCAGCGTGAGACTAACTGAAATGACGTGAAACCACAGGTGAGAGTCTGACATAACGAGACACATCAGCTTCGATGAAGACTTTAGAGATTGATCATTGAACTGATTCATTGAAATGGTTAAACAAACTTGTTAGATTCCTGCCAACTTCTGTTCGCTTCAAAGAATCAATTCGGGGAATTTTTGAGAGGGAACTTTGAATTGATTCTTTGAAATGGATATTTCGAACCCATCTAGAGAAATGATTCAAACTAACTTAGAGTCGGTTTGTTCCATTCCTGTGAATTTCTGTCCATAGTAATTGAATCTTTAAAACGGACAGTTTGAGTCCATCCACAGAAATAATTTAAACAAACTTGCTAGAGTCTGTGTGATTCATTCTTGTGAATTTCTGTTCATTTCAATGAATCAATTCTGTGAGATTTTTGAGATAGAATTTTGATTTGATTCTTTAAAATAGACCGTTTGAACCCATCCACACAAATGATTCGAGTTGGTTTGATTCATTCCTGTGTATTTCTGACCATTTTAATGAATCAATTCAGAGATTTTTTTTAGATTGACTTTTGAACTGATTGTTTAACAAGTTTGTTCGAATCATTTATGCGGATGGGATCAAACTGTCCATTTCAGAGTTGGTTTGAATAATTCTTGTGAATTTCTGTCCAATTTAATGAATCAATTCAGAGATTTTTTGAGATTTTAAATTGATTCCATCCACAGAAATTAATCAAACAAACTTCATGTTAAAGTTGGTTTGATTTATTCTTGTGAATTCAGTGTACTTCAATTAATTGATTCAAAGACTTCGGAGATTGAGTTTTGAATCGATTCTTGACAGCTTGAACCTACAGACACAAATTAATCAAACAAACTACTTAGAGTCTGTTTGTTAATTTCTATCCATTTCAGTGAATCAATTCTGAGATTTCTGTGATCGTATTTTGAATTGATTCTTTCAAATAGACCATTTGAACCCATCCACAGAAATGAATCAAACTAACTTGTTCAAGTGAGTCAATTTGGTTGATTCCTGTGAATTTCGGTCCAACTCAATGAATAAAGTCAAAGATTTTGATATGATTCCTTGACAGTTTGAACCCATCCACACAAATGATTTGAACAAACTTGATAGACCTGAATGTCTTTAATTTTAATGAATCAAATTAGAGATTTTTTTTTATTGACTTTTGAATTGATTCTTTGAACGGGACATTCTGAACCCTTCAACAGAAATGATTCAAAAAAGCGTTTTTATCACTGAAGTTTAAATGAGAGGCACTAATAAACCTCTGTCTGAACAAGTGCAGTAAAAAGTGCATTAAAATCACTGCAATATTCAAATGTATGGTGTGAACACAAATACTGACACATGTATGCCATGAGGCATGTACTTCTTTGCTGTTGTTAATCACTGAGGTTAGGGCTGTCAAACTGTCAGGTTATGAAAAATGCCAGAAAATAGCAGCATTGTGTGGTCGGAGAATGAGACAAAACTCTTGTTAGCTGCTCAGGTGGAGGAGAACGAGCAAAAACTGACCGGCCTAGATATATAAAAGACAATCTGGACATCTGACACTCCTATAAGTCACTGTATAATCTGAACGTGTCACACAGATGTTCTCTCAGCTGTTATTAATGCAGCTATCAATCACAAAAGCCTCTGCTTCTGCACCTTCAACGCCCGCCGATGATGTCACAGTCCCGCAGGGAACGGCCCGTCAAAACCCATCAGTCCCACCACGGTGCTGTCTCGCTGCCAAACACGACAAAAACAACAGCAGCTCTCCACCTCGCGAGGAGCTGGACGTGTCGCTGCACAGCCCTGTGAAAGCACACTCCCGTCTGTTTGTTTCAGCCGCTGTAATGATGATTTCTCTGTAGTGGGAATGTGGTCTTTGGCAGCGGGGCTCACCGCAAGTTGTTCCTTCTGTGGTACAGCTCCCGTCTGGGCTCTTGAGCGATTCCACCAAGATACAGGGAAAAAACCCTTACAGGCGAATAGTTCATTCTGAGACGCATTTCATGGGTTACTTTTATAAAAGCATAGCAAATCTAGTCTCAAAGACACCATTTTTGGGCCAAATTTTAAGGCAGCATTGCATGCATCCATCCTTTAAAGGAAAAAGTAATCCCATAATGTACTGCAACCATACAAAACAGATTAAAAAAAAGTTCTAAAACTATTTTTCTATTTTCCGTAATTTTGTGCTGTGTATATGTATCCTATGTCTTAGCAGCAAGCAAACTTGAGACACATTTCATGAGTCAATTTGAGTTTGATTCACAAGCTTGTGATTCGATTAAATTTCGATCTCATTTGGATATATAGGCGATCAAGTACAGTGCATGTCAAGGACAAAATATCTCTCTCAACTAACTAGACAATAAACCCTGTCAGTTGGTGCATTACTAAATTAAAGTGTTTTGTAAACAAACATAAAAAATATGTAATAAAAAATAAGGCAGTTTTTATATAAAATAAAATGTATTATAATTTATAACATATTTATATAACAAATATTTATTATATTTGTAACCAAACATTAAAAAAATGCAATAAAAAATTGCACGTAAGGAAATTTTAATTTTATAATAAAAATATTATAATATAAATATATTATAATTTATTATACTAACTTTTTAATGATATAATTATTTTTCTACTCCAGTTTATTGTTGAAATACAAACATTTAAATAGTGGATGTTATAACCTGTGTTCATGATGGATTTATTCAAACATGCATTAGATATTGAAGAACACGTTAAGTTAAAATATAATCAATATGTAATATAGTGCATATATTTAGCAAAATGCTTCTTTCTAGAGTTCATTTTTCTAGCTAACTATTCAGTTTTTCTGTTTCTTTTAACACCTTCTGATGTTCATTCATGTTTATTTTGTGCCGTAACTAGTAGTAAAGAGCAAGAGATGATCAGTTCACGTGAGGCTACAGCAATCTGTCATGCCAAATTAAAGAGCACCGAAACCAAATTTATTGTTTGAATTTCATGATAAAATAGACAGAATTTGAAAGCTGGGACTTTGTTTCATATCAAAAGTAACAAAGCGCAAGGATTATTGTGATTTATTGGATGTGAGGCATTACAAACAATGTTTCATGAAGTTTTGTTCATGCATCAACTGAAAACAGCATAGATTGATTCTTGGAATTTAAAAATCGATATTGGTTCATTATATTTTCTAATGCATATGCTACAGCCTTTGGGAAAATGGATTGAAATTAGTTGGGTTTTTCCGAGAGAAGTGTTTTTTGTGTGTAGAACTGTCAGATATTGCGTTGGATTTCAGTTAGGATGCTGCTTTAGAAGACAGATGCGGATGTATTGCTAAATTTACACTGCAAAGGCGGCACAGAAGCGCTTCTGAAGTGGCATTTAGGCATCTTTACACACTGTTTATAATGCTGCTCAGAGGAGGCATAAATGCATTTACACAGCAATTACAACTGTATACTTTGATACTGGAGGCTGTCAGAGCAGGCATCTTTTAGTCTGGCTTTTATGCTGAATTTTGAGCAGGCACAGAGCAGCCTTAACTCACCTTATGATGGATAACCAGACAGATTCAGATGCAAATGCACAAATAACAGCCATTTCTTACCTTATAATCTTTCAGATTGGTGTCATATCTTTCGCCGCCTTCAACTCCTCTTCTAGAAATAATGCCGTTCGCAACAAAACTATCCCCTGAAAGTGGATTTGAAAAGCATTAGGAAATGTTCTGCAACGTCCAAGCCATAAATAGTTAATGTATAACAAAAATAAGACTCAAAACTGTGTCAAATGCAAAACTCACCCTCAGGATTTTCCCGACGTTTGCAAGCTGCATCCCAATGACAAAGACAAAAATCTGAGTATTATTCATAACATAGTTATGCATGTGCATTTCAAGAGCATGCATAGATAGGATTGGCAAAATATGTGTCCAAATGATATATAAATGGATGGTTTTCCGATTATTATGACTATGTTTAATCAATGTTGTCCTAAAGATCTGATCATTACCTCCATAAGACCTCAGGAGGAATTTTTTTATATCAGAAATGACATTTTTCAGTATTTAGAGAAAAACGAAGCTACTTTCATGATGTAAGAATCATAATCTAATGACATTTCTAATCTCAGAACTTTTATTCTGCTGGTCTGACTGTCTGAGATGCATTCGATTCTATTTATAAGCCAATAGAAAACTAACAATAATATTAAAAGGCCAACAAATAATAATATTCCAGCCTAATAACAAATGGAAAATTCAACCTTTCAACACTTAAAAAAAAAAGTTAAGAAAAAGTCATTTAAAAAACAACACAAAAAGTTAAAAGCTATATTTAAATAGTAGAACAGACTAGATTAAAATCATGCTACAAGACAGAAAAGTTCCTTTAACTCAATAATCAGCAATAAACATACGCGTACACACATATTTAGTGATTATGTGACTGGTAGATGTGTAACTCACCATGTTTTGAGTGAAGTTTCCCCATTGTATCACTGCTGTGGTTAAGAGAACTTGTGCATCTCTCGGTCCAAGTTGAACATTATATCCATATATATTCAGAGGAATAAAAAAGACAAATCCCTCAGATTCAGGAAACACACGAGCGACTTTAATACAGAAGAGCGAAGAAAAACATCTGTCGGCGGAGCTCAAGAGATGATGGTCCGCTGCAGATGAAGATGTGAAGCGAAGTGAAGTGCAGGAGAAAGGGGCACCTTCAGTTCAGTTCAGTTCAGTCCGGCCCCCTGCAGCGCCACTGCTGCCCCCTACAGGACATGTGTTAGAGAACTAACACAGGCAGCACACTACTTCATCAGCTGATTCTGAAATGCTATGTTTAAGTACGCAAATGAGGTGATATTAAATTAAATATGCACTTATTTTCAACATTTCCTGAACTGAAATCTGAACATTGGATAAAGCCAGGTTCATTTTGTTGATATTTTAGAGTCAAAGGATTTTATGAAGAGGATTTTAAAAATCTATTTTTTAGAACTCCATAAATCTGAGCAACATCTAGAGTACAGAATAGAGATTTTGACTTGGACCAGAAAGAAACAACTTAGCACGTAGTCTGTACAAGCAGCCTAAACTGTCCCTTTTGTAGTTCTTTAAACACCAGCACAAGCTCAGGAAAGCATCTGGTGTACTTGAAGTGGAAGACTGACGTGACTAATGCAGACTGCAATGATAATGTTGCACTTGATGCATTAATATGAGAAAATTCAGAACAAATATGCAAATTCAGATTTTCAGCAGCACAATGGAAAAGATCAGGACTCCTCAGGCGCCGCTGATGACAGCTCATCTGAACCTCTGTTATTACTCTCTCCTCAACATGCTCATATTCTTCTCTGGGACTTCACAAACGATCCACCCGTGCCAACTTGTGGTTTAACGTCTCTGACGAGTTCCACAGCTGTTAAATCCAAAGCCAGCTCCTCCAGGGTCACTGGTTTCCTGATGGGATCTTCACAGTTCAGATCATTCAGCAGATGCATGCAAAGCAACGTGCTTTACACCAGACCTGAACTCTTAAAGTATTTCTTAAAAGTATTTCCTTCTCCTGTTGTGAGTGACTCATCTGTTTACAAAAACGCCATTATAATATTTCATCAGACTGTAATGACTTTCCATTTCAGCTGACGTCATTAATCTCTCTTTTCTCAAGTACTTGTCAGACAGAAACACTTTTAATAATTCAATTCGCTCAATTCCTAAACTACTGAAAACTGAAATTTCAGAGACAAAAGTTGAGTCTGTGAAGCTGAACTTGAGAACTTGTCTCACACTTTTTATTTAGACTTATAAATATCAGCCAATAATCATTTTCACATTAAGGCTAATAAACGATAAATGATAACCAATATTATAAATCTATACTACGTGAAGAAAATTGATACACTGTAAAAACTAAAATAAAGTTTTTATTTATAATTAAATATCGGCCAATAAACAATCTTTTTCATATTATTTATTTATTTAGTCATTTAGCAGACGCTTTTATCCAAAGCGACTTACAAATGAGGACAACAGAAGCAATCAATTGTAGTATTAAAACAACTAAAAACAGATCCAAAACTAAAAGCTAAAACTTTATAAATACGACTTATACACATTTTAAAAATAAAGAAATTAAATAAAAATGACAAATGCATACAATATTAAGGCCAATAACCGATAAATGGACGATATTTTAAATCAACACTTTTTAAAGAAAATTGATAGACTGTTAAAACTAAAGTAAATAGTTTTTATTTTTAATTAAATATTACGTATCAGCCAATAAATAATCATTTTCACATTAAGGCCAATAACCGATAAATGGCCGATATTATATATTTATACTACTTAAAGGAAAACTGATACAATCTAAAAACTAAGGTAAATTGTTTTTTATTTAGAATTAAATATCAGCCAATAAATAATAATTTTTACATTAAAGGCACAATATGTAATTTTCGCCGCTAGAGGGCGCGTGTTCAAAACAAAGAAACAAAGGCATAGTTTGATGGCGCTGTGACTGAGTGTGGAATCATGGGAGTTGTGGTCTTCATCCCCACAGCCGATGCAATCAGACGGGACTCGGGCAGAAATCATGTCCGTGGATGAGCTAATGATTTATTAACGTAGTAGAATGAAGCAGAGTGAGGCTGAAAGCTGTCGAAGCGAAACGAGGCGCTGAACGAGCGCGACACACGGCTCGAAAGCAGCGGAGCTTTTATTATGCCACAGTCGAGTACTTCCGCTGCTTCCGGTCGTGCGTATGTGGGGTAAAGCAGCAGAGCTTTTATTATGCCACAGTCGAGCGCTTCCGGTCCTTCCGGTCGTGCGTATGTGGGGTAAAGCAGCAGAGCTTTTATTATGCCACAGTCGAGCGCTTCCGGTCCTTCCGGTCGTGCATATGTGGGGTAAAGCAGCGGAGCTTTAGTCCGTGGATGAGCTAATGATTTATTAACGTAGTAGAATGAAGCAGAGTGAGGCTGAAAGCTGTCGAAGCGAAACGAGGCGCTGAACGAGCGCGACACACGGCTCGAAAGCAGCGGAGCTTTTATTATGCCACAGTCGAGTACTTCCGCTGCTTCCGGTCGTGCGTATGTGGGGTAAAGCAGCAGAGCTTTTATTATGCCACAGTCGAGCGCTTCCGGTCCTTCCGG